GAAAGGGGACAGAGAGGTGGCTGAAGGCCGGCCGTCTGTTGTTCATTTCAGCATCTGGCTAGCAAGAATACTTGTTATTACAGGCTTTCGTAAAACCATCTTTTCTCCACTATGAGCCTTGAGGGAAATCATCCCCTCACCCCTGCTCACCCTCAGAGACACTGTAAGCCACTGCCTGTTTTGCATCTAGGGCCCCAGATTTATCCAAATGGTTTGGGACACTGTTCAGAAATGTCTTTCACAGATGTGGGAGAACAGAGTTGAGTTGTTTTTTGGCAGGAGTTGTGCTTTTGCTTCAGTTCTCCTTGAAGTGGAAATGTAGCTCGCTTGTCCTGGGTGTGGCCCGTTTTTATCTGGGCAGAGCAGGGTTGATCTGCTCAGTCAGCACCAGGGAGCCAGATGCTGTGAGATAGTGCTTTGGCCCTTACGGATGGACGGACGGACACAGGGCTTGTGTAGCCAAGTGCCTCTCTCTACATTTGGTTTGTGTCGAGCTTTCAGGCTGGTCAGTTTGGGAATATCATGTTATATTGCCATGCCTAGATTAGAATTTTAGAACTTCAAGATATCAAGTGAGGGTTTTTTTTTTCCCCCAAACTTTTATTAGCAATGAAAACCTTCAATGAAACTTTTTTCAATGAAATCTTACCAGGCAACTCAGTTAAAGCAGAGTTGGATAAATGAGGACAGAAGTCCCAAGATCCTTTCTTATTTGTGTTTTTCCTTTCCCTGCCAAGCTCCCCACCTCTGGACCCCCCCCCCCCGCCCCAGTGTTCCTCTGTAACCCTTATGGCTTCCTAAAAGAAGCCTTGAAAACAGGCAGTATAACCTAAGGCTCTTAAATTAATGGATGTGAAAATGGAAGTCCAGAGATTCCAGAGACAACCATGGTGTCCAGTCTCACAGCAGGGTAGTGGCAGAGCTGTGACCTATGATGCAGGTTTTCTGGTACCCTGTTTGGTCCTGTTTCTGCCCTCATATCCCCTCACCCCCATCAGTGTTAGAGCTTCAAGGTGCAAAGTGGCGTGGACGTCAGGCAGGACCTCAGGGATGGGTGGGTGTTTAGTAAACTGAAGTCTGTGGTCCAGGATCCCAGCCTGAGGGCTTTTGCTTTATACAGTGTTAATCGGGGCCAGTGCATTTATTGACACAACACTGATTTATAAATGAAGATGCCTCTTAGGTTTCCTGCAGAGTACATGGTTTTTCGGAGCATAGACTTTTATTTTCTGGCAGCCCTGGCTGTTTGTAGTGGAAACCTAGTTCCAGTTGGAGTATTCCCATGCACAAGAGCCTCCTCTGCAGTCTACTCTGCTTGGCCTTTCTGTGGCCAAATTGTCTTCTTTTTCTTTTTTTTTTTTTTAAGATTTTATTTATTTGAGAGAGAATGAGAGAGCACATGAGAGGGGGGAGGGTCCGAGGGAGAAGCAGACTCTCTGCCGAGCAGGGGGAACCTGATGTGGGACTCGATCCAGGGACTCCGGGATCATGACCTGAGCCGAAGGCAGTCGCTTAACCAACTGACCCACCCAGGCGCCCTGTGGCCGAATTTTCTTAAATTGGCTCCCTACCCCACCTACTTCAGTGGCTACTTGTCACTGATCCAGGAAATTGGTGTTAAAGCTAGTGGAGGAATGGGAAACACCATTGGTTATATGAAAGGCAAGAAATGACTTATTTCAGTTGCCGCAGAACAGTTTTTTTACTTGAAAGTTTTCCGATCGTGTACTGTCTGGCCTTTGTTGGCAGATGGAGGTTATACGCGGCAGTACGCAACGTTCAGTAATACACACGCAGATACGCTCCTGGCTCCTGTATCTGTTCTGATGAAGTCCTTGAGTGCATCCCCACGAAGGCCAGTCAATGTGTGGGTTCTGAACATCACTGAGAGTCGGTGTCTTGTTCCTTTTATCCTCACCATTTTCTGAAGCCAGGTCAGTTTCAAAGGAGAAAAGAGGCACGTTCAGCCATGATTGTTCTATTTGAACCAAGTGTGTGGGGTGGTCCAGATGTGAGCAGTATGAGCTGAGACTGCTTTCCTTTGATGCTGAACACAACTTTACCAGCCTCCCCCAAACATATCTTGCCATTTCCTGTGGGATTACAGTATATACTTGTTTAATGATTGCTAAAGTAATGTAGAAACAAATGTGAGTCTGGTTTGCATGCTTCCTTTCCTCCAGCAGAAATAAAAGGGGGGGCCTCTGGAGTCCCTGCTGTTCCTATGGAACAGTATCAGAAAATACCACCCTGAACTCGTTAGCTGAGATTGGCAACAGAGCTTTCCGCTTAAACCTTTACAGAGCGGGACATGGTGAGCTGATGGGAGAGGGTCATGGTGAGCTCACAGTGGGTGAGGAGAGCGATCAGCCAGATCATTCTTTTTTTTTTTTTTTTTTTAAGATTTTATTTATTTATTTGACAGAGAGAGACAAAGCAAGAGAAGGAACACAAGCAGGGGGGAGTGGGAGAGGGAGAAGCAGGCTTCCCGCGGAACAGGGAGCCCGATGCGGGGCTCGATCCCAGGATCCTGGGATTGTGACCTGAGCCGAAGGCAGACGCTTAACGACTGAGCCACCCAGGCGCCCCTCAAAGCTTTTCTTAATGTCCATTTCAGCCCTGTCTATCAGGGTGGTATGTGATTTTTGGGATCTTTACCCAGCATGAAATTCATCTAATATTGCTTGTTCTAGATTTGATGCTGCCTTTTTTTATTAACAGGCTATGAGTAGTTTTGTTTTCTTGCTGCCACATGCACCTTCCTCAGCCATATAAATCGCCTTTTTTCTAATGCCTTGCACACAATCTCTGATTATTTGGGAGTTACCTTAGTATTTATTGTACCTCTGCAGGGACTGTGGGTCAATTCCTGCTGCATTCCCATGATACCCAGTTATGGTAACTGTATCTCCTTATTTATTGTTAAGTTGGAGATTGAATGAGTTGGAGAGTTAATGATCTAGTTATCTGGTTTATAATTGGTAGTCAGAAAGGTTGGGGTTGAATCTGTGACTCTATATTATTTAAGCTGCTGGTTCAGCAGCCACGAGTACTTGTTAAAAGCACAGATTCCTAGTTCCACTGTGGATATTCTCATTCAGTATGTCTTGATTTAGACTCTAGGAACCTGCCGTTTTTAGAAGTTCCATGGAAGATTCTGGTGCAAGCACATCAAGTATACGCCCGGCGTAATGATTGTGGTTTTTAACAGTAACATTTTTCATCTCTGTTGGTGTCTCAGATAATTCTGGAATGCTTTCAATTATTGTCTTACATTTATCTGCACCTGCTAGGCTGTGCTGGAGAAGGAACATCAGCCAGGCTGGCAGCTGGGGACCTGGCTCTAGCTTCTGGATTGACCTTTCATCAAGTTACAGTTGTTCGCTCTGTCTAGGTTTCAGTCTCATTCATAAATTGAGGGCACCAGGTACTTTACAGATAATTGACATTCTTTTTCTTTTGAAGGGTTTTGCCCGCCTAGGAATTGTACTCCTCATCACTGTTCAGTGATGCCTGTTGCTTCTTCTAGTTCACTGGGTGCCTGGCAGCTCAACAGAACGTGAATCACTGCTTCGGGTAGCTGCTAGCTGTTTGCAGATCCAGGACGGCTTCTCTTCCTTTCTCCTGCCACTGCCAACCTTCCAGAACAGATGGAAGTAAACCATTCCCCTGGGAAACAAGTGCTTATGTTGGGGCTTCTCTTAAAATTCAGGTTGTAATTCTGACCCTTTCCATATCCAGACTTGGCAGTTTTAAGCCACTGGGCTCTTTTTGCAGGCTAGAGACTTTTGTGCCTCTAGGCACAAGATGTGGCTGATGTCGTAGTCTAGGGAACTGGGCTTGTAATGCCTCACCTCCCTGCCCCCAACAAACCTTTTTCTTCCAGGAACTTGTTGCTTCTTCTCCAAGAGGGGCTGGCTGAGGCCAGGGGCAGAACAAAGTATCCCTTTAAATCTCTGGTTCTCTATCTTTGTGAAGTTGCATCGAAATGGTCTGTGGTGCTTTTAAAATGGTGCGTGTGCGTGTCATCCAGCCCTGCCTGGTCCTATTGAATCAGGCTCTCTCTCGTGGGATTGGACATGTGTGTTTTTTTTTTTTTAAAGCTTGACTTTAAACATTCCCTTTGGAGCCTCCTTCTCTTCCTCTGGACTGGGTTCATGCACTGTTTTTTCGGTAATTATTTTTTGTTAAGGCAGGTATAAATGGAGAGTTGTCATCAGAATGAAGTGTGATATGCGTCTGTTGAGAAAATTAAGCTGCTTTGAGACCTAGGTGGCCCTCTGAAGCTGAAGGCTTAACATTCCCAGCACACAGTTGAGGCACAGGAACTATCACGAAAGCCTTAATTAATCCTGGTGCCTGTCTACTCCGGGCTGATGGTTCTTCTTTCATCAACGTGTTAGTGTGGGAAAGTCGTTGATCCTTTCATTAAAGTGTATTTTTACATAGTTACTCGTTTGTCCTTTTTCAGTGTAATTCAACAGCTATTATTGGGAACTTACAACATGCTAAGCGTTGTTCTAGATGCTAAAGATAGAGTAGCGAACAAAACAGACAAAATTGCTATCTTCTCGAATCTTTCTCTTCATATATAGATATATAAATTATATATCTATATGTATAACTTAACATGACAGAACTAAATGGCTGCATTATAGCATTATGAAATGTCATTTTAGGGGAATTCTCAGGATCATCCTATATATTGCTAAGATGACAAATAGAACTGGAAAATTGAGTCAAGCATGTGAAACCTGGATTAAAGTCAAAATGTTAAATAAGACCAGAGACTGTGTCTTACTTGTATTATATGTAGCTCATGGGTGTTCAGGTACATACTTTCTGAAGGCAAAAGGAATAATCCAGTAGGTTCCAAAAAAAGGTAGCCAAGGTCACTGGCAGAATTAAAGTTTATCCTTTGATTTTGGGAATAAGTCTCCAGAGAGTTCTTATTTGTTACAAATTTTTCTTTGACTCTGTGTTTTTAAACTCCTGTGTAGACCCAGATACTTTGGGGGCCCTGGAGTTCACGGTAATTTATCTGCCTCTTTCACCTGTTCAATGAAAGCATTAATTTGAGGTGAATGTTTCAGGCCTCAGGGGCGCTACTTCATAAATCACTGCAAATTTCTGTACTTGCCTTGAATGGGTTAATAGAGCTTCCCAAGTGTCCACTATAGTAGTAGATACTTTACTGCTATGGTGTCTACTTCTGTGTTGTGGTTTATGCACTAAAATAATTTGATTTAGATATAATAGGAACGTTTTCAATCTGCTTTCAAGGAATTTGAATACTAAATTGTCCAAATCTTTTAGCATGCCTGTTTTAAAAGTGCTTTTGTAAAAAGGAAAAGGGGGTGGGGGTGGGGGGAAGGGGTTGTTTTTGTTTTCTTTTTTTAAACCATAACATCCTGGGATTCTGAATCCAGGTTAAACAAATGTTGGACTGCAAAGATAACCAATAAAAGAGAAACACATTTGATAGAGATTTCAATATATTAAGGGAACATTTAAAAGAAACCAAGGGCCTGGCTCAAGTTGGTATTTATGAGTTAACCAACTTAGAAGTAAATAGGGTGTGAGAGAGGCAATAAAAAGATATTCTGGAAATAATTATTATTGCTAAAATTCCTACATCTAATTTTAGAATGCCTGTGTTTGGAATTTCATATGCATGATGAAAATGTGTATTTCAGGTTTGTGGGGAAAAACAGCGCTTTGAGAAGTTGATGGAACATTTCAGGAATGAAGACAATAACATAGATTTTATGGTGAGTTATTCCAGTACTACATTACATTCAATAAGGCAAACTCCGTTTCTGCACTTTTTTTCCTAAATCCATTTATATTTATATATTATACATATGTGTGTATGTATATGCATATGAATGTTACAAAGGACAGAAAATTGAGTATAGTATGCTATAGATTCAGTTTAGAGTGTTCCTCACACTTTGTATTTTTCCCTTACAGGGGAAATTGGTGTTTATTTCCAGTTTTATCCCTCACGTGCATGCTTATAATAAAGGCCCAAAGCCCTAATTATTTATAGCGAATAAAGGGTGAAGCCATGCATTTGGGGAAAGGATGTTAACTCCTGGTACAAATTCCTGCAATTGCCAGTTATAGTTTTCAGTAAAGAAAGTAGAAACCAAGAATCTTGACCATTTTGTCTTTTGCACACCCCAGCCAGTGGCTTTCTCCAGACTACATTCTCAAAGACTAAAGTGCATTGGTTTGTAGAATTGACTGTATGCATCCCCCAAATTACTATACAGCAGTGATTTCCACCCACAACCCCCCGCCCCCCCCCCACCACTCATGATTTCCTTCCCGCTCTGGTAACTGTGAGCGCATCATCATACTGCAGAGCTCCTTAGCACGGTAGTTCTCATGCAAGAACGTGTGGTTCAGCGGCAGTGCTGTCCTCTCTGGGGACAAACAGCAAAAGGAGTTTGAGCACTGCTGAATTCATAGACTTTAATCTTAATCTTGGATTGAAGATGGAAATCTACCCTAGAGCATTTCTGAGACAGACTACCCATGAGTGCACCCAGATCTGCAGGCTTTCTCTGACCCAATCCAGTTGACCCGGGCAACTTCTGAGCCTAGGAGATCTCACGGGGGCTTCATCTCTCAGCTCACATCTAGCTTGGAGCAGGTGCCCAGCTCAGTTCTTATGTTGTCCAGTCTGCTCAAACCTGCGTGTAGGGTGCCAGGCACAGTTTTCATTTGAATTGCTTCAGTGGCTGTAAACCATGAAACACAGCTTTGCAGATTTCTAACCCTTTCATGTGAAAATTTTTTCTGGGTCCTTACATTTTATATGCATCCTAGCCCTCAACCCCTTCCAAATTCCGTGAAAATGATGCAGTCCTTCTAGAGAAGCTTTTCTGTTCTATCAAAGCCTGTTATTTGCTGGTTTTTTTTTTTTTTTTTTTTTTAAAAGACAAATAATGTGAAACGAGTACTTTCACATTGGCTTTTTAATTTTCTTGTTAGGAATTTCTGGAGTGTTTGAAGGCCCGTGTTGGCACGAATGATAAGTACGTGAAGAAGCCATGCGTGGCTCACTTTACTGGTTTCTTTCCTCTGCCTTCAGAGGGGCAACTTCTTTGTCCCTGAAAGCTGAGGTTGCAAACTGGAGGCTCCCATGCTGAAGCCAACATACAGCCTTGTGAGTTGAGTCTGACAGTGATGTCCCTCCATAAAAAATTTGGAAATGGTGCATAAAGTAACAGATTTCTCTTTTTTTTTAAACTAAAAATTCAGCTAACACAAGACCCCTGGGCTTGCAGAGTATCAGCCTCTGGAGCCAAGTTGCCCCTATTTTTAGTCTGAAGATCCCCTTTCCAATTTGCCACTGGAACGGTGGTCCGCACTGTTCCTTGCTGTGTTACATGGGGCCCACTTCAGTCATTATCAGACCTCGGGGGGTCTCCCTGCCACTTGAGTTTCTGCTGAAATTAAAATTTATATAATCAAGCCCTTTAAAATGCCTGCACTGGGGATGCCTGGGTGGCTCAGTTGCTGAGCGTCTGCCTTCGGCTCAGGTCATGGTCCCAGGGTCCTGGGATCGAGCCCCGCATTGGGCTCCCTGCTCAGTGGGAAGTCTGCTTCTCCCTCTGCCACGCCCCCTGCTTGTGTTCCTGCTCTCGTTGTGTCTCTCTCTGTCAAATAAATAAATAAAATCTTTAAAAAATAAAAATAAAATGCCTGCACTGTTTAGAAGGGACAGTGTATTTCTTGCCACTTATTTATATCTACATGCAGTGAGGAAGCTTATTTAGGAGCTGCTAGTATGCAGGTATTTTGCTCAATTCCTCTGTTGCCTAGGAGATAGTTGCCTCTCAGACATATCTTAAAACTCAACAGATATTCAGAAGAGAAATGGAAAGATGCCGGAATTGAACCATATTTTCCTCCAGAAAATGAGGCTTTTTTAAAACTGTCCTTGGGAATGCAGTTAAGTTGTACAACCTCCCGAACAACTTATTCCTCATAAAACATAAATTTTTCTAACACAAGACCTTTTTCTGTATTTTTTTGTGGACAAAAGCAAAAAAACCCAACCAAACAAACAAAAAAAACCTGACAAAATCTTTAGCCTATTTAACCACAGCACCTGAAGTCATTTTTTAGTAAATTGCAAAAGAGTCTCCTTGTAACGTAGAGAGTTGACCTGTCTTCCAGTGTAGGACTTATACTCAGAGGAGACTCTAACTCAACAGAAACAGGGGCGCCTGGGTGGCTCAGTCGTTAAGCGTCTGCTTTCGGCTCGGGCCCTGATCCCAGGGTCCTGGGATTGAGCCCCGCATTGGGCTCTCTGCTCAGCGGGAAGCCTGCTTCTCCCTCTCCCACTCCCCCTGCTTGTGTTCCCTCTCTCGCTGTCCCTCTTTCTCTCTCTGTCAAAAAAAAAAAAGTCTTTAACTCAACAGAAACAATTAAAAAAAAAAAAGATAAAAGAAACTGGGTTTGGAGGAGAAAGGAGGAAGGCAGTTTTCAGAGAAAATGTGAATCTGGATCCCTCATTCACTTTACCTCCTTTCGGAGACTGTGTTTGCCCATAGAGGGAAAACATTAGTAAGATATTTTCACCATAAATGTCACTATTAAGAGCAAAATAGGGGCACCTGGGTGGCTCAGTCGTTAAGCGTCTGCCTTCGGCTCAGGTCATGATCCCAGGCCTCTGGGATCGAGCTCCGCATCGGGCTCCCTGCTTGGCGGGAAGCCTGCTTCTCCCTCTCCCACTCCCCCTGCTTGTGTTCCCTCTTTCGCTGTGTTTCTCTCTGTCAAATAAATAACGAAAATCTTTAAAAAAAACAAAATAGGGGAACTTGGCTGGCTCAGTTGGTAGAGCATGCAACTCTTGATCTCAGGGTTGTGAGTTTGGGCCCCACGCTGCGGGTAGAGATTACTTAAAAATAAAGTCTTAAAAAAAAAAAAATAAGGCAAAACAGATCTATTGAACTTTGTTTTGTTCCTTACCAAACCAGGAACTGGTTTTCTCTGTGGCAGGTCTCAGGGCCACTGATGCAGTTGTGGAGAGAAAGCAGTAAATCCAAGGCTTTTGTGGAATGGAAACCGGTTGATTGTTAAAAATGGAAACTTGGGTCAGAGATCCTGTTACGATCTTGTTGGTATAGTGGGGCCCACGGTGAAATTTTAGAAGTGATTATCCTGTGGTATGATGATAAGTGATTTTTTAAATGTTTTTTTTTTTTTTTAAGACTGTTCCATTTTCTATGATATATCTGTAATACCTTACACAGTTTGTTCTATACACCCATAAGACTTCCTAAAAAGTTTTACTGAGAGGTGATCTAACTTACCCACTGAAGGTGGACAATTGAACATAATTTTTGCATATTTGCAGAGTGGTGCAGCCATCCCTGCGGTCTAATTTAGAACACTTTGTCACCCCAGAAGGAGTCCCCATTAGTAGTCACTGCCCATTTTCCCATCCCCAGTCTTAGGCAGCTTCTAATCTACTTTCTATCTCCACAGATATGCCTGTTCTGGATATTTGATATGAATGGCATCATAATTTATATGGTCTGTTAGGACTGACTTGTTTCATGTAGCATAATGTTTTCAAGTTCACCCACACTGTAAGATGCATCAGTACTTCATCCCTTTTTATTGTCATTTAATATTCCATTGTGCGGATATAGCTTATTATTTTAACCCATCGGTTGATGGACATTGATGATTTTTCCCCTGTATTCTGGTTGTGAATAATGCTTTTGTAAACACTCGTATGGGAGTTTCTGTACAGCCATGCATTTTCTTTTCCTGTGGGCACATACCGAGGAGCAGGATGGCCGGGCTCTTTGGTAACTCAGGTTTTAACATTTTGTGGAACTGCCTGACATTTCAAAGCAGCTGCACGTGTGGACATCCCAAGTGGATGCGGGTTCTACTTTGTCCACCTCCTTGCCGCACTTTCATTTTGATTATAGTCATTCTAGCGGATGAGGAGTGGCATCTTACTGTGGTATCTCTGTGACTTTTGAATTTAAAAAAATGATAAAATATTTTTAAAGACCCAGAGAAATGAAGGAAAAGGAGACGGGTAAGTGCGTTTAGATGTGTGACATTGAAAGCATCCGCCCGCCATTAAACTGAGAAAACCGGTTTGGAGCCCTGTAACCCGCTGGCAATTTCATTGCAGGTGGCCTCGATGCAGTTTATTAATATCGTAGTCCATTCAGTAGAAGACATGAATTTCAGAGTTCACCTCCAGTATGAATTTACCAAGTTAGGCCTGGATGAATACTTGGATGTAAGTAGAGCTGTGACCTTTGGCTCCAGTGTAAGCCTTGATTTATTTTGCCTGCCTTCAAAGATAGCTTCCGCCATGACTAACGAACGCTTGAGGCTCTATGCGGCCGCGTACTGTAGTGCTGGTGTTAAAGGGAACCTATCCGAGTGATGCAATCGGCCAGAGAAACTGGATTCTTGCCGACCTCCTGGGACCTCGGGCTGCCTTCTGCCTGCAGCCGTTTAGTACTGGAGCCAGACACCCTCTTGTGGCCTTGCTGCAGTTTCCTCCATGTTTGAGCTCTGTCTGGGTCAAGTCTCCTTGCACCCTTCGTCCGGGCTCTTGGGCAATCCACGTTCTTGGTTACTCTGCGGACCTCATCAAACCAAGACTGCTAAAGAGTGATGAATAAATGCTTAGAGCGTTAAAAAAAAAAAAAAAAAATACTGAGGAAATGGACACTAGAGACTTCCTTGTGGGGCGGTTACATTCTGTTTAATGCTTTGGTGGTTTTGGTCGTTCCACTTTTAAGTTCTTGGGAGCAGGCCGTCTAAAGTTGCTCTTTCTCTGGCTCCCCTGCAGAAGTGCTCAGCCAGCTCCCTGTAGTTCTTCACCTAGGAAATAGCAAGTTGGTGTGAAAATCGTAAATGGACTCGAGTGGCTGTGTGTCCTTTGATTCTCGAGCGGTTTTGTTTTCCCTCCTGGGCAGCAGTGGTCCACTTGAATTTGAAAGGCCACTAGCGAGAGGGCAAGAATTGTTAACCTCAATTTCCAATTTGTCTCTAGCCACGAAGAAAATAGAAGGGCTTCCCTTGGGCCTCTCCAGAGTTCAGCTGCCCGGCTTCGTTAGGGGGAAAACCAGGGAATTGCAGGTTATTGCGAGGCAAAGTCATAGCATCGGTTACTCTCTGAGCTCGTGACCTGGCTCATCATACCGGCGAGGCTGCCCCTGGAGAGACTGGCCTAATGTTGTCTAAGGACTGTACTCAGGGAGAGGCATGATGGATTTCCATTAAAGAGTCATTGGAACTGTGTTCTGACTTCAATAATCAGTAATATCTTTGACAGAATATGGTATTGAAAGGCTTTTCCTGCTCTAAGATCAAGGTTTCTCTCTGCTCTTTCTCTACCTGCTCAGAGAGTGGCAGGATTTGAGCGCACATTGGGTGTGTAGATTGCTCATGGTGTTGTGGGTTCAGGGGGTTCAGTTTTGTGATGGTCATGTGGAGCTCTTTCAGGCTCCAGGCAGCGATGGCGAGAGGAACACATTAGGTTGTGCCCCTTACTCATCGTGTACTTGGTGAGAAAACCTGCCTAGCTGCTGCTTTATTTTCCTTTCGAGGCTTTGCCCTTATTCAGGTGTCTTTTTTAGCTTATATTCCTAAACTAAGACAGAACATACTGTCTTTAGGACAAGCTAAGTTACGGAATTCCAGATTAGACCTAGGAGTTAATCCATCTTCCCGAGAATTTATGTAGAGCATAATTCCTCTGAAAAATTTCAAAAAATTTTTCCAAAACTCTGTGTTTCTCTAACTTCCTGGTCTGTTGGTTCTGGACCCTGATAGAGGTGGTTAGAAGATTAATGTTATAAGCATATAATATATAAATGCTTCATTGGTTTACAAAAGCCCAGCCTTGTAAGTAGCCATTGATTTGTTCAGTACGTTTATTGGTGTCCTCCATATGCCAGGATTATTCTAGCTACTCATCTGTTCCCCCAGAGGAAGTCAGGACTTATGTTACTTGTAAGGAAGACTCGCAGATTTTCTTGATCTCTAATTTCACCTTAAAGCTGGTTGACTTCCTTTGGGATGCCTGGGCCTATAAGGCAGGGAGTGGAGGAAGGCTTCCTGATCTGTGCTTTGGGGAGCCCTGCACTCCTTATGCTGGGGCAGTATCTTGGGGAAGTTACCATGGAGGGCGGTAGACTAGCAATTTACTAATCAAACCCAGGGCTGATATATTCTATCCGTGTCTTCCCCACCTCCCACCTAACCCTCTTCCTCAGTCGAACCACCTTCTCTAGTCAGGCAACTTATACTTACTCTAACCGCCTCTGCACACAGATGCCTCTCAAACCTGGGACCGTAGCTCTCTTCCGAAGCTGCTTTTTAATTTTTCTGTTGTCTGATTTCACCTGTATCAAAATGTTTTGGTTTGGAATATGTCGATATGGGGAATAAATTTATAGGAAGAATTAGGGAGGAGATGTGTATATATTTGGGAGAGGGTATTCACCAGAAAGTAATCTGATGGTAGCTTCTTAGATGAACAGTCAAACACTCCGTGATCCTCTTAAGGAGGCTGAGGCATCAAACCCTCTCTTGGAAAAGACTGGAAAAGACCGGAGTATTTGGAAGCAACAAAAACATGTAGGCTGTCGTACCATTATGTTCTCTCTCCACAGCTGTGCTAAGGCCGCCTTCTCTTGCGTTTTGGTTCTTAGAAACTGAAGCACACGGAGAGCGACAAGCTCCAGGTGCAGATTCAAGCTTACCTGGACAACGTGTTCGATGTGGGAGCTCTGCTGGAAGATGCTGAGACCAAGAATGCGGCCTTGGAGAGGGTCGAAGAGCTGGAAGAAAACATTTCTCATGTAACTACGTCTCGGGAAAGGAGACACACACGCACACTTAGCTGTTAGGGCGGTCAGTGAGAGGATTTGGAGTGTAGGGATGAGCTGCAGCTGGAGATAGAGAGCTGTCAAAAGCCGCTCGGGGTTCTTTCAAAGAAAGCATATTTGTTACTTAAAACCAAGGGGAATCCGTTGCCTTGCCTTAGCTCATCTGCTGAGCTGGTTTCTGCTGAGCCCAGATTTCCTGGGCATCTTAGTTACAGACAGGCACCCAAGAGTGAGATGGTTGGTGCCATGTAGGGGGGGAAATGTCGCTCGAGTATGTGAATTTGGGCTGAGGTGAAGAAGTCCTCTTCTACTCCTGTTCTTCTGAATAGAAGTCATTTTCTGTCACATGTGCTCACATAGGCCTATGAAAGATGGGTTCTAGCAACTAAAATAAGCCCCAGGGCTAATTGGACTGTTACCTGTGTCTTTCCTGTCTCACACCTAACCCTCTCCCTCAGCGCAACTACCATGGCTACCCAGGCAAGATACCGCCCACTTCAGCCTCTGTGGGAGTTTGGTTTGGTGTGTCAATAAGTTATATTTCACTCAGAGTCTTGTGAATGTAAGTCATGCTCTACTCCGTGTGTCCACACAGGCCCGTGGACAGGGTGATCTTGTGGTTTCGTGATGCATGTCTGCCCAGTCTTGCCTTATGCTTACTCAAGTTCTAAAAAGAATCTCTTCAACAGTAGGCATTTTCAAGGAAATTAGTGAGCGTTCCCTTATATCCTCTTCTTTGAGGAGTGTCCTCTTTTCAGGGCAGGGGCTCATTTTTCTTTGAGGGGTTTTTCTTGCCACACACTAAGTTGACTATGAGTCTAAATAAAGGCTTTCAGAGGCAGTTCATGTGTTCATCCATTAAGCAGATATTTGAATATTGCAGGAATGAACCGAAAAATGGTGCTTCTTAAAGACCCAAGCATTGTGAGGACCAAATTCTTACGTTGAATCCTGCTTGGCAGTGTCCTTGGTTATAAATCAGTGGTCTCTTTTTGGAGCAATATTATTTTCCCCCATTTGAGTGGCCCATTTATTTTCCTCCACATTTTCTTAGTTGAGAGTATCGGACATGCTTGACATCCTTCACCTTTGTCCATTACTCTGAAATGGGCATCTTCTTGGCTGTGGTTAAGCCAAGTTGGTGAGCCAACCTTTCCCCCCACCTTGTAAGTGCTGCAGTGACGTGGTTGGCACCCGCTTAGGAAGGGCACTTAGCGGCCCGGTGTTTCTTACCCTAAAAGATTTGACTCATATTCTGAACCTGATCAGGGTTTTCAGCTCCACCCTTCCTCCTCTCCTTGCCTCCCTGGTTTTCTTTACTTGTGATCATTCTCAGTGAAATCCGAAGTTGCTCACTTTCAGAGCCTTGTGGGAAGAGTAACTATTTAACACATGGTTCAGCCAATCTTCTTCTGGAAGCCTCAGCCAGCATTGCATGACCATATTCACATAACCCACTTTCGTAGCAGGCCACCCGTTTTTTCGAACTGGCCCTCCAAATGACTTAGTATTTGGATAGTTTGGGTCAAAACCAGCAGTACTGTTTTGTCAGCTGGTTTTCAATAATAACAGAACCAAGTTTTGTGGACCGATGATTTTCAAAAGCTTTGGCCTAATGGCCTTTTCTTCGGGCAGGAAAAGTGAATCTCCCTTCTTGCCTTACCCACTGTCCCCCATCCTCGTCAGCTCCTGCAGAAACAGAGGGAGAGGCACCGTCTAGGTCCCAACACTAAGGAGCTGATGTATGGATTTTATTAAAGATCATGTGTAGATTACTAATTCCTATTAGAAGCAAGTATGTATTCAGAAACCTATTATAAATATTAACATTTCCAGAAAACAGCTTGGGGAACACAGGAAGGACTCTGATGGGCCCCGAATGGTTTTTGAGCTCTACTTTCTGAGAACTGAGGACCTGAGCAGAATGGTCGTGTGTTGTGACCACAGGTTCCCTTTTAAAACTTTACAGTTGTCTGAAAAACTGCAAGACACGGAGAATGAAGCCATGTCCAAGATTGTGGAACTGGAAAAGCAGCTCATGCAGAGGAACAAGGAGCTGGATGTTGTTCGAGTAAGTGTGCTGATGACAGCTGGCCTGGACGGGCATTGCAGGGAATGTGCACCGGCTTTAGTCCTAGTAGAACGTGGAATACATTCATGTCAGGGGAATGCATTGATGCAGCATATTTATTGGAACCGTTTCAGAGGTGATACTCAGTTGAAAATACACATAGGGTGTGTATACACGTGTGCGCAGTCAAATGTTGGGGGTTCAGTCCTTCCTTATCACAGATTTTGAGAGCAACAATGTTTTCCCATCTGGACGAGTCTGAGTTGATTCAGTGGATCACCCATTTGCTTGGAAATAAAAACACGGCATGGATTTAATTCATGCCCCTTATTTATTTTATTAGGACTTGGACTTCTTTGTATTTTTTTGCTTTGCTTCTACTTGAAACCAGATTTGATGGTTGCCATGGAAATGGTGAAATCAACGTAGGCGAGACCGAATGGCATTCACCAAAAAACTTAAAAAAAAAAGAAAAAGAAAGAAGGCAAAGCAAAACCAATCCGTTTTGTTATCAGATAATCCCAGCTATTTTATTTGGCCTTAGCATTGTTTTACCTTGTGTCAGGTATTTATGGAGTGCTATCCGTGTGCTTAGAACTGTCCAGAACATAAAATCACCAAAACGCCTGGAGGGCTTTCAGGCACAGTGCTTGCCTTTACACCATCGTTGATGAAACGGCACATTTTATGCGATGGTTATCATGTCTGTGTGTGTTGCTTGATATTCTGACATGTCCTACAGTTAACTCTAGGAAATTTATTTTTTGGCACGCTGTCGAGACAAAGTTGTAGCATATGGACTCAATTCAAGTCAGACTCTCAGATTATTAATAATAGACAGGGTGTGAAGAATGTTTCCCTGCCTGCTGGAGGTTTGTGGTGAGAGATCACATGTACAAGACCTAGCAAGTAAGTTCCATAAAATCCTTTCACTGGAACCTCGGTGGGCCCCTAATAAAAGGAACGGGGACGGCCTTTAAATTGAAAATTGTAACTTTTTTGTTTTCTGCTAAAAACGTAGACAGAGCTAAGCAATCAGTCGAGGGAAGCACTGGCCTGTTCTGTTAACTGCATACCAAAGGGAAAATGTTACAGGATTGCTGTCCTGAGCTTGGTCAAGGGGGCGTTGTGAAGGCCGGAGAAAGCCATTCAAGAACAATCAGCTCCTGGTTATTCATGAGTAGATCATTCCGCGCTCTGCAGATTTTTAATCCCAGTCTGACTTCCATCCAAATCTGACTTAGGGCCTTTTGTCTACTGTTAGCTGATATGTGTCTCGGAGTTACAAATAAATTTTAAAATAAAAGGAAAATATGCTGCCCCACCGAAATACCCTCAGGGTGTTCCAGAGTCAGCTATAAAATTATCTTTGGATTATCTCTGCCTTGTTCCTCTCTGCCTGCAGGGAAAATTGAGTTAGCCACACTTCTTAATAGAAAGAACTGTATTAACAGTAACAATTGCTAGAATATATTGCATGCATTACCAATGAACAACTGATAATGAATGGGAGTTTATAGGATCTGGCTGAGTTCCATATGATTCCTATGTATTTATGAGTATCCTTTTTCTCTTTTCCTTTCCTTTCCTTTCCTTTCCTTTCCTCTCCCTTTCCCTTTTCCTTTTATTTTTTGTTATTTTCTTGATCCTCAATTTGCCAATCTGATGGTAATAGGTATGAATGTCATGTGAAGTTAAACTCTTGACTGTGGACTCTTTTTGCAGGAAATCTACAAAGATGCAAATACCCAAGTTCACACATTAAGGAAAATGGTCAAAGAAAAAGAAGAAGCCATTCAAAGACAGTCTACTCTGGAAAAAAAGATTCATGAACTGGAGAAACAAGGGACCATTAAAATTCAGAAGAAAGGGGATGGGGACATATCCATACTGCCAGTCGTGGCCTCTGGCACATTGTCCACGGGGTCAGAAGCGGCAGTGGGTAACTTTATGGGACCAGTAACGGGGGTCACCTCCTCGGGCCTGCCCCCTCCCCCCCCCCCACTACCTCCATCGGCAGACACGCCTGAAGCAGGTAAGACGCCTCGGCGGGAGAACTGAAAGGGTATCGGGATATTTGTATTTCTTCTTTTATCCACTGTCCGTTTATGTCCTTTGTTTGCTTTTGTTGGCCACTTTTTACATTTTGAGATTAAGGTTCTAAAGCTGAAGCTTTTACATATGTTGCAGTGTATTATTTATTTGCCAGTGGGGAGATGTTACAGTGTTTGAAAAAAATTCCCATGTCATTTTAAGTGTTTTGTTTTTTGGATACTTTGTGCACATGACATCCTGCAGGTGAAACCATTCCCCTGTTTTCAAAGGCAATT